AGAGAGAGAGAGAGAGAGAGAGAGAGAGAGAGAGAGAGAGAGAGAGAATCTCTTTTAAAAACAGGAACCAGAAATTGTAGTTGCATAACACTTATACAACTCAACTGTTACCTAAAAATCACAGCAAGTCAAATAAGATGGGACCATTCGGAAAAATATTAATAGTGAGCTTTCTTATTGCTTACATTGCTGTCAAATGGACTACACCCCGTTTTGATCCAGGTAAGTTAAAGAAAATAATTCATTGTTTTAATTTCAGATGCCTTTATCAAAGGTTTTGTCTTCTTCAGTAACTAAACTGCAGCACACTTGCAAATTGTGTGTCATGCTGATTACACCTGTTTGAACTGCAGGTTAAAGTGGGGATGATTTTCTTTAATTGAGATTGTAGACAATAAATTCATTAAACAATAAAGAAATATAAAACAATTACAAATATTAACACTGCAATGTGACCGTTATAATGAAAGAAAGAAAAAAAGTTTTAAAATGCAGGTTCTGTCTGTTTATGAATTTTAGATGACTTCTTTATTTTAATGATTTTTATTTTTTAAGTTTATTAGTAGTTTTTTTAACTACACTTTAAGTTATATTGGTGTTTCTTTGCTTCAACGCATTCTTTACACAAGAGAACTGAATATGGAAACATAAAACCTATATTCTCAGTGTAAATATTAGGATTACAAACTTAATATTACAGACACAGTCCTACAAGGAATAAGCAACCATGTTGTGTTTTGACCATTTGCAAGAATAAAACTTAACTGAGGATTTAAATGTAACTAAAAGTATTTATCATTTACTCAAGTCATTACATCAAAGTAGATGGGCAACTGTGCAACATTTAGATTATTAAATCATAAAGTTGCTATGGATGAAAAGGCAGTTTGCAATTTGCTTTTCAACTAGAGATGTGTATGGCAGGCACTTGTAACATATAGTTCAAGTTCAAGTTGTGTTTATTTGTCATATGCAAGGTAAACACAGGGTTAACAGTACAATGAAATGTTTAGGATGAAAATAATCGATTTGACTTGATTAAAAAAAAAATCAAAGAACAAACAAACAAGAAATACTAAAGCATGCAATAACTGTACAAAAATAAAGTACCAAAAAGTGAAAAAAAGTAATTATAATAATTACAACATCCTAAAGAGAGACAGTAAACAACAACATGGTAGAATATAATGGTTCAGTAGAATGAATTTGAATGAATAAGTGAATAAATGAGAGATATACTGTATATTCAAACATCACTCCTGTTTCAGTTGTAACATTATTTCTAGTCAAAAAAAAAAAAAATCTTGGTCAAATATGAAACTAAAGCTTTATAAAACAACATAATTTTTAGATTTATTTTTATTTTTTATCTATGTTTGAACAACAGAGACTTTATCAGGAAAGATATGAATACCGTACTACTTATTTAATTAAAATCCTTATTACGAACATTGTCTTCCAACTAGTTTGCTCATCATTCTGCTGAATGCTCTGCAGAAAACTAATCTCCAAGAAACAGAGTTTAAACAGACACAACCTCAACAAGTACAGGATAGAATGAAGACAATTACATTAATATTACTAGTAAAACATCATAGTTGACACTGTTAACTCAGGTACTTTAGTGCAACATAAAGGAAATCAGAAACTGCTGTACAAGCTTCATACACATCACTGAGAATAAACTAAATAAAATAATAATAAAAGTTTGATGATTCTTTGGCACATCTTAGCACTGAAGCACAAAGCGAGCAATTAATTGTGATGATGCGCTTTCTTCATGTGATTCACGGCTTCCTGGTAGAGTGAATAAAACATTCATCCACACCAGAGGGACACACTCTTGTTTTTTCCATAAATAGTACAATGGCAGTATTTAGTACAGTAAAATGCATCTGTGCATAATGTACAGTATTGTTTGTTCAACAATTAATACCTAGCACTGCACAATAAACCAAACTTAGAGTCAGAGGAGTGTGGTGTGTTCAGTGACCAACTTTGATGTCGTTCAATTTAAAGGAACCTGTACAAGTTTGATTGTCTTATCTTTATTTATTATTGCAATGTGCTGAGTGACTCAAAGGAAGCACAGCTCACGCTGTACCTTTTTAGTGTCATAAAATTTATCTGTTTTACATGGCTCCGAGTTATACACAAATGACAAATGTATTTTCTGTTGGACTTTTTTTTTTCTTTCTTATTGACTGTTCCAGACACCTGTGTTAGTGTTTTTAACACAAGTTTGATTTTACTGCCATTTTTTTTTTTTTTTTAAGTTAAGCACTCAGACACAATGGTGGTCGTGAAATGAAACTGCACATGCTAGAAGGTCATGTGATTTATTATTGCAATAATTTAAATATCAGTTCAAACATAGAGTTGGCAATAAGGACACACTGCTGGCCCTATGTCAGGTTGTGGGCGGCACACCCTAGGCCTGGATACAAGTGGTGATTTTTGTGCATAACTAAATCGTGCAGCTGTTGTATCTTTTTGTGTGAAAATACATTACCCAGATTCACCGCTGAGCACGATATGACACCACTTGTCATCAATCCATGCCTTCCGACTGCTGCACCACTCCTGAAACAGCTGTCTTTGCTCTACTGTTGATTGCAGTCTACGCATGAAATGGTGATTTGGTAGTCTTGCAGTTGTTCAGACACGGTACGAGATGACAGATTAATGTAATCTGTAATGGGTCCAATTGTTTCCAAGTTCAAGTTTATTGTCATTTCCATCACATTATGGATTTGGGGTCCCAGTTACACCCAACAATAGCAAAAATATAAAGCATAAAAAGAAACAGTATATAAAGTATATAAGGATCTAAGATGTACACTAAAATACACGCTAAACAAACGCCAACTGGTACGCTAAAAGATCTAAGATATATGCTAAACATTAATAATGTAAAACAATACGGCGTATCAACAGCAGCCTGAACATGAGTCTGTGGTGAACAGATGAGTATGAATGAATACAGCAGCATGAGATAATCAGCAGCATGAAATCAGCAGCATGGATAATCAGCAGCACAAGTCACATATCACCAATTAAAGTGGCGTTACAGTCTTTTTTTTTCCCTTTCCAGATGAAAGGCAAAGAAGTTATGAGGTTCTGTAATGCTCAGCACAAAATACAACACCTTGGTGTGGTTTGTTGGGCAACTGGAAACTTCACTACTTGTGTGGCTGCCATTCCATATCTACTGGTTCTGACACTGGGCAAGCTGTGCACCCTGCTTGCTGGATAATTGCACAATATGACCTCTTGGCCTCATGCAAACCCACTATCAGAGCCATATCAGACTCTGTCAAGAGCAAGAAACTGTCTAATACAAGGCTTCGTCTGAGTCTGCTGATCTTTACATTTAGACGCACCAGCTTCTTTCATGTCTTCTACATGCCCACCACTGGTCTGCAAGTGTACTAAATGACTGTATGTCCCAATCAAACTATTTTTTCTAGGTTCTTAACTTTTCTTTGCCCGTGATTTTAGTTGTACTTTTTTTTTTTTTTAATTTAATGAGTTGAATTTGTTTCAGAATCTCTCAAAGGTGCCAGGGTTTTGGTCACGGGGGCAAGCACAGGTATTGGTGAACAAATGGCATATCATTATGCCCGCTTTGGAGCCAAGATTGTAATTACAGCAAGGAGGGAGAAAGTTTTACAGCAGGTTAGTACAAGTATGTCTGACCATTTTTCATTTTACCACTCAGTACTGTGTCCTTTGAAATATTTGCTATTTAAAAAATAATTACTACTGGACAGACAATTTTTGTGTACCCAGGTTTGGTTATCTCAGCAGATTTCATGAATCCATGACTTAGTTTCTACACTTTTCTTGCATCTACATCAGTTGAAGATATTTTAAAATACAGTAACAAGTTTGCCTTGATACTAAGAAAACAGTAAAATGCTTTCCTTACTGGTTTTACAAAAAAAGGTTACATCAGGTCATCTGGACAGTCGCTTTTGTGCTGTTTTGCTCGAATATTTACAGAATGTTTCCATCTCAAGGTAGTTGAGAGGTGTCTGGGTCTAGGAGCCCAAAAGGCTCTGTATATAGCAGCAGACATGGCGAATGAGTCCGACCCCGACAAAGTGGTGGATTTTGCTCTGGAGAAACTGGGAAGTTTGGATTACCTGGTTCTCAACCATATTGGCCCGACCCCCTTTAGCATGTGGGATGGAGATGTGGAACACACCAGGTGGCTAATGAAGGTAATGAAGCATTTTGATGATCTATCAGCACACAAAATCAAGAGAATATCCTGACCTATGTGTGTGTGTTTTGAAGGTCAATTTCCTCAGCTACATACAGATGGCCTGGAAAGCTTTGCCCTCCCTTGAGCAAAGTAAAGGATCTCTGGTAGTGGTTTCATCAGTTTTGGGTAGGTTTGCCTCATAATTTTTATGCACCCTTGAAAACATCATATGACCCAGCAGCATTTTTTTTTTTTTGTCTAAAGGATTCAAAAGTATCCTGAAGCTTTCAGTCATATGACATGATCTGCATCACTAGATTTCTGTTTGCCTTCCAGCACTTTCAAAGGAGAAATTATTTTTTGACAGTTTTCTGAGGTTTTCTTAAACTCTTTCTGTTATGCTTTGCAAAGAAATGGCCATGCAAGGCGGTTAATATGTACATTGGTCACACTAATGTTCCATAAATACTTTCTTTACTGTGGGTTCACTCCTCTGGGTTTGATTAAAGCTCACAATTGCTGCATTGGTGGGGTAATTTTAAGCAGTTGTAATGTTTTTTTATTATTATTTTTAGGTTATGTTAAGAGGTCAATGTTGCATGTTAGTAATAAAACAATCAAGGCATGACAATAAAAACTTTTTTTTTTTAAACCTAGTTCTTAGATTAGTATTGAGACCTCTAATGAAACATGTAGCTGAAATAGCTAGCTAATAAAAAACATGAAACTTATAATATTTGGTGCTTGAGAGTAGTTTATTAATACTCACTCCATTTCCAGATGTTTTCCTTTACTCAGAGTGTTGTTTGTACTTTACAGGTAAGATGTCCAGTCCGTTTGTAGCACCATACACCTCAACTAAATTTGCCTTAAATGGGTTCTTTGGATCCTTGTATCATGAACTGGCCATGAAGAAGAGCAATGTGTCAGTCTCTATATGCACACTGGGGCTTATTGATACTGAATCAGCTATGGAGAAAGTCAGGTTTGTCAAATATATAATCACAAATGTACATCTGTGCATGAATGGTAAAATGCTATAACATGTTAACATTTCAGATGTTTGCTTTATATTATGCACCTTTCTCTATTTCTCAGGGGAGTCACAAACATTCAGGCCTACCCTGCCACAGAAGCAGCGCTGAACATCATCACAACAGGAGCAACAAAGCAGCAGGAGCTTTACTACCCGTGGTTCACACACATCATGTGTCTCAGCAAAGACTGGTTCCCGTCTATAACCAGCTATGTCATCCAGAACTCCTACAACTACAGTCCATGATAAGCATAAATGTACTGCACATGGCAGTATCATAGACGCATCTTTACTGGAAATTACGCACTTGCACATTTCTCAAACTAAGACTGTTTAATAAAATGCACCTAATGTACAATTTTATCTGTTTATTTTTGCATGCATATTGGCTCATGGTATTTTTTCCTACTTTAATTTTGAAGGTCTCGATTTAGTTTGCCAACTATTTCACCAAAGCTCCCAATTTACCAAAAAACAAACAAACAAAAAAACAGAACATGTAGAGCTGTTGCCTCTCAGCAAGAAGGTCACCAGCTCAAATTCTCAGCCGGGGACCTTTCTGGGTGGAGTTTGCATGCTTTCTCTGTGCATGTGTGCGTTTTCTCTGGGTACTCCAGTTTCCTCCCACAGACTAAAAACATGCATGTTAGACTGATTGGTAACTTTAAATTGTCCCTAGGTGTGAGTGAGAGACTGAATGGACGTTTGTCTCAATTGTCTCTATGTGTCCCTGTGATGGACTTGCAACCTGTCCAGGGTGTCCCCTATCTCTCACACAGTGACTGCTGGATATGGGAACCAGTGACCCGAAAAGGAAGAAGTGGGTAAAGATAATGGATGGATGGATGGATGAAACATTCACTCATAAATACACAACTAATGCATCTTTTACTTTTAGATTGGGTGTTCTAACTCCTCAGATAAAATCCACATGTGAACTGTTCTTTGGGTCTTCAGGGCCATTCACTCACAGTTGATGTAAACAGCTCCTCCTGCAATGGTCACCTTGGTGGCTAGTCTGAAAATGAAAAACTAATACAATCCATCCTGTTATGTGAAACACCAAAACACACTGAACAAAAACAGATATGATACTAACATCACTGCACTAACGTTTTTGAAATTTATTTTTATGGTAAAGCAGCAGTTAATAAAGTTGTATTTTGAAACACTAACATGTCATAAGGGAATATGCCATATTGTCCTTTTAGTCCAGGAAGATTAATTGCGACATAATGTATAAATGTGACTTGGTATTTGGTCTGTCTGTCTCCTCAAATTAGTTAACCATGGAACAAAATGTTCCAAGACATATTTCTAAGATAAAATCTCAAAGTATGACTCAGGATTTCATAATTAAGAGACAGTGTCTCATAATTATAAGCTAGTACCTTACACGATATGATATGAGTTAGTATTTTATAATAATAAGATAAGAAGTTGTATTTTTTAAACAGCATTGTGGCAGAAATGAGCTTCCATACAGAGGCTCGCACAGCAACCTGGGATAAAAGAAGAAAAAAAGTGTGGGAGGGTAAGAGCATGAGAGACATTACTGTACAGTATTGCACAAGTGCAACTTCCTAGAAACTTGCTTGTTGAAAGTAATACTTTCATTTAAACTTAGCAAATAAGTTGACTAAAATTTGAATCAAGTCTACAAAAAATGGGGCAATTTATAAAAATGTTGATGGTAAGTGTCTGTGTGGCTTACATTGCTGTCAAATGGACTACACCCAATTTTGATTCAGGTAAGTTAAATAAAATTCACTCTAATGCTTCCTGTTATACATCTACCAACTAATATTAAATATTGTAATCACTGCAGCACACATGCAGGTATTCATGGATTTTCTGTGACATGAATGTTTGGAATGCAGTTTGCTTTAAACTTGAG